GCACACGCTGCCCCAGCACCCCATCGAGCAGCTCGGTGTGAACTCGGGGGACCAGAGGGGGCGCAGCGCGGAGCTGGGATCCTGCCCAGAGACTATGGTTTCTTTGGGAGAACGTGAGAAACGATGTTTTCCGTCCCAGAATAATGGATGAGCCTGGGGTGGAGTGGGGTGGCGGGGAGGAAACGTAGAGGAATCCGGCTGGTGCAGCGGTGCCCACGCAGGGTCAGTCATTCATCCCAGTCCCGGGGCCCCGCACTGCGCCCGGACCCCGCCGTCCCCGCCGCCCGGAGCACAAAGCCAGCGCCGTGGCCAGCGTTGCCACCACGGCCGAGCGCCCCCGGCAGGACGCGGGACGCAGCGCCGAAGCCACCCCAGCCTGTTGCGGGGACCGCGGGCTGGAGAGATCTGGGACGTGAGACCACTCACCGTCAGCGCAGGGCTCCGTGCCCCGCTCCCTCCGGGGGACAGTCGGGGACGCACAGAGGACACTCATCCGGGCAGAGACGCTCCTCCCGAAGAGCCGAAGGGCGGCATTGGCTCCCGCAGCAGCAGACGCTTCCTTCTCTTCCTCTCCCCAAGCAGTCGCCGTCGCAGCCTCCTGGGAAAAAGAAAAAAAAAAAAAAAAGTCCAGGGCAGCAGTTGCTGGAAAGTCTCTGCTAAGCCACCTCCCAGCGCCGCTGTCCCTCCCAAGTCCTCACCGAGTCCGGACGAGGCAGCAGCGGCAGCCAGGGCCAGCTGCACAAACTCGGCGCATGCTCAGCCGCTGGCTGCCGGGGTTGGGTCCTAGTGGGTATTTCTTGTACCTCTTACCCACAGTGAACCCCCAGAGGGACCCCTCACCTCTGTAAGATAGGATCCCAGAGAGATAAAACTTAGAAAGTTGGGCGGAGTCCTCGCATAAACCCCTTTAAAATGGTGGCGTCGGAGAAATGGAGACTGAGTGTAAAGCATAAGGAAACAGGCTTTTATTATATGAAAATATTTGTGTTTGAGAAGGGGGGTCACGGAGTGGCCCAACCCAATTCCTGCAATGAGAAACTGGTTTTCACAACCTTTATGGAGCCGCCTCCTGTGATTTGACGTTACCATGGTGCCCTATGATCCTTCTGATTTGTTGCTGCACTCCTTGATTTTAAAGTCAGTTCTTTCCCACTTCACTAATATTTACATAAACATCAATGCACTCTTATAGAGTCTTAGCATTCAGAATAAAGAAGAAAAAAAAACAGCGTTTAACTCTTATACATGTAATCCAGTTTCTAAAATTTCTCCTGAGAGCATATTCTTGAATTCTTCCTGTGATTTATAATGAAATGTCCACATAATAGTGGATCGTTGAGGATCCGGGTTCGAGTCCCAGCACCCACATGGTGGCTATGAACGGTCGTTAACTCCAGTTCCAGGGGAATCGGGGGCCCTCTTCTGACATCCAGGACATTGCACAACACGGGTGCACTCACATACATGCAGGCAATACACTCATACACATAAAATAATAAAAATAATAGAGTATTTTTAAAAAATAAAATTAAAAAAGCAACTAGAAATTTAAAGGTATCACAATAACTACAAACCAACTTTCCAAACCTAGCTTCTCTTTTAGAAGAAATTTCACACTTAAAATTCAAATCACTGAATCATGATCATGTTGCTCCTACAAAATGTTGGTGTTTTATAGCTCACAATAGTACATTCTTGTGATCTGCAAATCTTATGGCAAATAAAACCTCACCAACAAATATGAATTACCTGAGATCCAAGCAACATCTTTGAGAAAAAATAATAACTGGAGTCCCCCCCTAAAATGTGCAGCTGTAGTCTGTGTCCATCATCACCTGTCTGCTGCACGACCACAGTTGCAAGGAGACAGGATCTCAATTGGTTAGAACTGAGGTCAGAACCACGAGACAATGAGGATGCCCAGGGCCAAGCTATTAACATTCCTCCTAAGCAAATCACCAAGACAACAAGCTCCAAAGAATATACAAAAAGTACAGCTATCCACATACCCGCCAAAGAAAGCTTCCAGTCATCGATCAGATGATTCCTGCTCTGGTAACAGAAGGGTTTCTGGAATTGCAGAGAAGAGCTCAGAAGGCTGCTTTTAGCCTTCATCTGTTTGTGAACAAGCTAGGGTGTGTGCCTACTTCAAACAGGAAGCTGCTGAAACAATACACCATCCAAAGGCTGTTGATGCCACACATTCTCTGAGAGATACAAAAAAATTCCCTCATAATCTTTGTCATTAAAATAGAGAAAAAGAATGCCAATGACTCCCATAACTCAGAATAGAAACATTTTTCCATCACTTGGGGATTGGTAAGTGCTTTTTGCATAATTCTCTTGAGGGTCACCTACACCAATAGGTAGACCAGTAGATTAGAAGTGTTTTAGAAGCATATCTATCCCCTCTCATAGTAAACAAGGAACCAGAAGTTAAAGGAGTAGCTTAACTTTACATCTCCAGTCAAATGAGAGTCCAAAGTACAATCTAGGGTCACATCACAGCTGCCTAACCAGAACACTAGTTCAGTGGTTCTCAAAATTCCTGTGTGTTAGAGTCAGTTCTAGTGAGCTTTTAGAAAGATCCTAATGTTCAGTCTTCACAGGTTCACACCTTAGCATTCAGATTTTTTTCTCAGAATTCTCATGGTAATTCTACTGTGTAGTAATGTTTGAAAACCCACTGCAACTCAGACTTCACAGAAGCCTAAAATGAGCAAAAGAGTCTCTTCAAACTTAGCAGCTCAAATCCCTCACCTGCCAAATGATAAATTGGAATTATTATCCCCCCTGTAAGAAGAAAGCAGCTGTAGTTACTTTCCTAATATTCTTGACAAATGGTCTTCAAGATCTTAATCAAATTCAGTAGCAAAGCCTCATCCCATTACACATTGCAATACAGGGCACTTGTGATGGCCTCAAGTTGACTGCACCTCCCTACAACTTCTCAACCCTCATCCTGCTGTTTAGGGACCACAGCTTGAGTGAAGCATTCTCCCACAAGGCACCCTTCCACTGCTACAAGGCCATCAGCTTCCCCTCCTTCTCTAGTCCTTCTCTTCTCCAGGCTGACAACTGGTACCATAGCTATCAACCTGCAGGCCTATAGTTTCTCTGCAAGAACTGCCTTTTTGTCAAGAAGAAGCTAAGACAATTCACAATATGAGCATCATAGCCATTTGAATGAGGGATAACGTATTAAGATTGTATATTTTACTCCCCAGAAGGCAGGAGCTCATTCTAAGGCAACGTGTGCTTCATTAAGTGTCATTTTCCTGTGTGGCACTTGCTGCACCCTGCTGAAGATATTAGGAATAATGTAAGTCCCCCTCCCTGTTGAGAAAAGGCAAAACAGTTCTTTTCTGTTTGTCTAAAGATAATAATATGAATAATAATAAAATATGCATTTGCAAGCAATCTCTGTGTCAGTTCCAGAGTTAGGAGTAAAACTCAGTACAAGTTGGTGACCCCACAAATCGCTTCATTGTGTGTACCTAGTCCCACTCATTCTGCTCAAAGTGTGGAGAGGAGAGGAAGAGCATAGCTGTTTGGTTACATGAGTGAGTTTCTCTTGCTTCTGAGCAAAAAAGTACAATCCAGACAGTTCTTCAGAATCATCATACAAAAGAGAACTAATAGGTTTTTAAAAATAAGTTCTATATATAATGTAATGACTGCTTCCCATAATGACACAGAGATTCCTTAAAACCAAGATGAGATGTTGAAAATCTCTACACACATAGTAAAGGACTTTCTTAGATCTTTGTTTTTAATAAGGTCTGTCCTACTCTTTCCACTGTTAACCTTCATTACAGCATTGTAAATCTGAGAGGGGATACATGGACAGGCTTCAAGAAGGAAAGTTAGATTGGTCATTTCTTTTTTTAAATATTTTATTATTTTTATGTGTATGAGTGTATTGCCTTCATGTATGTAAGTGCACCTGTGTCATGCAATGCCCACGAGGACAGAAGAGGCCATCAGATCCCCTGGAACTGGAGTTACAGACAGTTATTAGCTGCCATGTGGGTGCTGAGATTCGAACCTGGGTCTTCTGCAAGAACATCCAGTGTTCTTAACCACTGAGCTATCTCTCCAGCCCCAGTCATTTCTTTTTTTAATTTGTATTTTTATTATTATTTTATGTGTATTTATGTATTGCCTGCATGTTTGTGTAAGTGTACCTGTGTCATGCAATGTCTGTGAGGACAGAAGAGGCTTTCAGATCCCCTGGAACTGGAGTTATGGACAGTTGTTAGGTACCATGTGGGTGCTGGGATTTGAACCTGGGTCTTCTGCAAGAACAGTCAGTGTTCTTAACCACTGAGCCTCCCTCCAGCCCCATGGTTGGTCATTTCTTACTGGCTCTTGAGAATCAGAAGCTGTATGTTAAATACACACATTCAATGTATTAAATATATTTTTTACTTTCTCTTCTGAAAGAGCATGCCCAATAGGACCTGAAAAATTTGTTCTATGCTGAATTAAGTGAACTTCACTACACTTTGAGTTTAAGGTAGCCAGATAAAATTCAAGGTAGCTAGATTCAAATTTCAAACAAACAGTATATAGTTTGGTATTAGATGTCCCCCGTACTGTATAAATCAAATACCATATATCTATATACTTTTTAAACTGAATAGCCTACATTTCTATTTACTAAATCTGGAAAACACCAAAAACACTACTCAAAACACCACTGCACTGGGTAAATATAGCATTTCAAATGACAAAACGTCCAGAAACAGCTGTTCATCTACTGCATAATGATCCTGGAGTCAGTTCTTTCTCCCCTTACTCCTGTGACATGCATTCAGTTCTTTCTTTCCTTACTCCTGTGACATGCATGCATCCTTTCCTTGTCCTCATAGTCACAAATCACCTGCTTGAATCCAGACATCTTATTCAGTTACTACCATTTCCAAAGGAAAAAGACACTGTTTCTTCCCAGTGGATCTCTCTGGGGATTAAGCCTCTCCCAGGAATTATATGGGAAATTGTCACATTCGATACATTAGCTGGAACCTGTTACATACTCATGAATGATCAGTTATTAGCAAGCAGTAGAGCCTGGCCACGATGGCTACAAATTCAGCCAGAATAAATTATATGCACCTTGGTCAACTCTTCCTCTCAACTTCAGAGACTTGGGCTCATTAACCAGAAGGCATTGGTAAAAATGATCTAGTTGTATTCAATAGATAATCACTAGAGCATTACTAGTAACTTAGACCTCTTAGGAGATAATCAAAGCTTCTAGAATAATTTCAACTTTCAAAGCATTTATAACTTCCTTAGCATACTTTATCTTCCAAAATTTATAAAACTTAAAAAAAAATCTTTTCTTTTGTTAAAAGATTCTAATTCACAGTAGTTTAAAACAATAACAAAAAATGTAGAGGAAAGGAAAGAATATCAGTTTATTTAACTAACAGATAGCAAATCCTACTTTTCTTAAGAAGATTCCTCAGGAATTGCTCCATTATAGCAGGAGCAGGACATTAGTTTCTTGTTATGTCCATAGCACATCTAGATAAAGGTTAAACAAATAGTGACACTTTTGCCCCCTGCCCCTTCAGTTCCTCCTGTGTTTTAAGAATTCTGTATTACTCCAACTATATACTAAATATATTTATTCATTAACACAGTAAAATGTTTGGGTTTGTTTTTTTTTTTTTTTTTTTTGGTCTTTTTGAAACAGGGTCTTCCTGTAGTCCAGCTGACCTGGAACTCACTATATGGACCAGGCTGACCTCGAACTTACAATGATCCGCCTGCCTCTGCCTCCCAAGTGCTGGGACTACAGCCATGTGCCACTACACCTGGCTTCATGTTGAGATTCTTAATCACACCAGCAAGTCTTTTTCTTCAAAAGAGGGTCATATCCACAGGCTGTCTTCCTGGGTCCATAGAGCAGTGCTTTCGGTTTATTCTCTCTGACCATCCTTTTTGCCTGCACAGGG